AAAAACAACTTTGTTTCATATTTAAAGTCTTGTGTTAGACAGTGATTCATGTTCACCATTATTTGAACAATTTGCCATTACAGCAAGATAAATACTTACTTGTGTTTTAAATAAAACTGGTGTAGGAACAAAAAATAAATAAATAAATAAATAAATACATGCAACGCACACCACATGTTTTATCCCCAACTCTACTTGGGCTTTTAGCAGATTAAAGAAAAGGGGCTGAACTGAATGGCATGGTTTTCATCTTCTAAAATGCTTGACCAATAACCAAGACTTTATTTGCCTAGTCTTACCCCAAGAAAACAATGTGGGCCAAACTGTGCATTTCACATGATTGTCTGATGAGTGACAAATTACAACACACTTCGGTGACCAGGCTTCCCACATTTCACAGGTATTTAGGAGCTTTGACAAGTCATCTCTGGTGGTTACCCACACACAGGCCCTGTGATGGGATTAAGACCGTGGACCAGAATGTTCACCGTGCCGTAAAGTCAGTGTCGTGAGAGCCGACCTGGTAAAGCTAAGAATCACAATGGGGTCAGGCTGCCTGGTTCAAAGGCTGAGCTGTCATCTGTGGGCTGTGTGATCTCAGGCAAACTCATTCGGTCCTTCTACCAGAATTTACAGATCATTGACTAGTCCCAGGGACTTCTTTGGTGGTCCAGGGATTAAGACTGTCGCTTCCACTGCAGGAGGCACGGGTTCTATCCCTGGTCAGGGAACTAAGATCCTGAATTCTGCGAAGCATGACCAAAAATTAAAAATAAAACAAATCTAAACAAAAACCCAAACACCAACTAGTCCCAGGGGCTTGTTAAGGGACCGGGGATTAAATGGAGAACCTGGTAGTCATGCCGCTGACAGATGTGCTCTAAGCCTCTGTTTCCTCATCTGGAAAATGGGGGCATGACAGTCTCTAGCACATGAGACTGCTGGAAGGAATCAAAAGAACCATGCACTAAAGAGCTCAATAAATGTCATCTGTGGCTCCTGCCACCACCATCATGATGCTAAATTAAACTCAACTCACCACCAACTGCAACCTAAGATCAAAATAAGGCTCCAGACCTGTCCTCTGCTTTACCCATTTAAGAAACTCAGTGAGAAAATGGAATATTACTAAGACTACTAGAGAAAGATGGAAAACAGTTCTCATGTAATGTTATGTGAAAAAAACTTTTTTTAAAGATTCCCAACAGCAGCAGCGAACACTGAAAATAGCACTTACTACATTCCAGGCATTGTTTTAAGCTCTTCATATTTATAAATAAATAATATTCTCCAAACCCTATAAGGTATATGATATTATCTTCATGTTACAAATGATGACTGAGGCTCAGAGATGTTAAGTAATTTGCCCAAAGCCACACAGCCAACGAGTCTCACATCCAGGATTCAAACAATAGGCTCCAGGATTTGTGTTCCTTATGCGCCTGTCTGCTACAGCCCGGTGGGGGCAGTGTTCTGCGTAGCAGCTGGATGGGAGTTGGATGGGTACCATGGTAACAGAAGAGGGAGGGAGAGAGGAGGTCCCTTCCCTGGCTTGTGCAGCTACTCACTTCGGGTAGGAAGAGGACTATGCTTCAGGAGTAGATGAGCACCATTTCTACCCCTCGGTGTATAATCGAGAGCACTGAACATCCACACAGAGACTTGTACACGGATGTTCACAGTATCACTACTCACAGTGGCCACAAAGTGCAAACAATTCTGATGCCCATTACTGATGGATGAATAAACAAAATGTGGTCCATCCATACACTGAAATATTATTTGGCAATAAGAAGGAACAAGGGACATGCCACAACGTGGGTGAACCTCCAGATCATCATGCTAAGTGAAAGACACTAGTCACAAAAAGCCACCTGTTGTTCTTGTGTGAAATATCCAGAATACAGGCAAATCTAAAGACACGTAATAGACTAGTGGCTGCCAAGGGGAGTGACTGCTAACAGAGGCAAGGGTTTCTTTTTGGGAGATGAAATGTAGAATTAGACAGTGGCTGATGGTAGAACAATCTTATGAATACACTAAAAACCAGTGAACTGTATACTTTAAAAACTGTATACATTATGGTATATGAACTGCATTTTTAAAATAAGACTATAAGACCAACTGTGCTCCCCTCTGAAAATCTCCAGAAGGAAAATATTTATTTTTTCTGTCCAGTATGGCAAATGCAATCAAGTTACCACTATACTTGGTTCTACACTGCTTCTCCATATAGTTTTTTAAAATCCCAATATATAACTTTGGCACATCAATAAAAAATACCTGAGAATCTCTAAAAACATAAAACTTTGTAAGTACTATTTCATTCAAGATTATACATCAAGGATTTTTTTTTTTTTTTGGCAATACTCATTTATATTTTAGCCAGAGACAATTACGCAAACACTAACAACTTATACCAGGGGCCTCACAGCATGTAATAGCTAAAAACTTAGATAAATCTTACATTTAATAATTTCACAATTAAAATGGTACTTTTATTCCCCCAGTAGTAAACCCATATACCAAAACCAAAAAATAATAAAGAAAAAAGAACCTATCTTCAATTGTGAGGGTAATAAATATTTTTGAAAAGAGAATTTACCATAAGAATCTATTTTGTGCCCACCAAAAATAATGTATCTGAACTTCAAAGTCACATTTTATTCAGGTTGAAATAAACTATATCCCCTGGAGAAAGGAAAGGCTACCCACTCTAGTATTCTGGCCTGGAGAATTCCATGGACTGTATAGTCCATGGGGGTCACAAAGAGTCGGATAGAACTGAGCGACTTTCACTTTCAAACTATACAAAATTGATTTTCTTCACCAAAAATAAAAGCAATCTTTTCTGTATTATTCCTACATACACCACAAAACACTTATTTTTGTAGGTTTTCTAGGTGTTGCTTAATACATTCAGTTTTAATAAATGACACAATAAAATTAAATTCAACAAGAAAACAGTGAAGTCATTTTAAAATGACTTCAAAGTTAGTACTCAATGTACATTTCATTCCCTACGTCCTGTCCTCTGTAACTTTCTGTGCTGCTTAACACAGAATCACAGTTAAGAGCCATCCTGCCTGACTTGGAATCTGTCCTCTAACACATCTAAGCCGTGTGACCCAGAGCTGGTAAGTTAGCAGCCCTGTACTTCAGCTTCCTCTCTTTAAAAAGGGGTGACAAGAAGTATACTTACCTCAAAAGGCTTGAGGATTAAACACAAATGCATATTTGTAGAGTACTTACAACAGTGCCTGGGACACTGAATGCTTTATAAGGGTTATGCATCATGAGTGATATAACGGGACAGAGCTCCACCAACAACAGGACTGGGCACAGCTGAGAATTCGTAAGAGAGGTCTGGGGGAGTAGATGCCAGAACTCCTGACTGCAATTGCTTCTTGAAATGAATCAGATGTCAGAGACATGCAAGTACCCTCAGGAACATAAGCTAGATGACCCTAGTAAGGTTACTGACAAGGCCCTGAAACGTCACACCCGCAAGGAGGAACTGTATATAATAAACAAAGGTGTTGCATGCAAAGTGTGTGTAAATATGTCTATGCAAATACTCAAAAAATTTACTGATGCACAGGGGAAACCATAGGCAATGCTAAAAATGATTTTAAATCAGAGGAGGAAGGAACAACCAAAAAAAAAAAAATCACCTTGGCTACCAGACAGAGACTGTGTGTGTCTTCCTAACACAGAGTACTTCCCCTACCACACATCTAATTGGATTTCTCTCTAAAACCCAATAAACGAGTAAAACGAATCAAGAAGGTCCGTCTCTACCACTGACTCAATGGCACAAGCTGCTTCTCAGGTTACTCCCCTGGAAATGGGATGTGGCACTTGAACAGAAAGAAGAGAAATTCAGCTTTTAAACAGCTCTTCAGAGACACCCTTGCATTCATGTCCCCCATTTACCATAGTAAATTCAATGTATGGAATGATCTATATGAGCTACCTGAATTTTTCTCATTTGTTTCGAGGCAAACAGAACAAACAGATTTTGTTCTGGAAAAACAACAGGCAAAAACCACTCTTTAAAAATTAACTTCACAATGTCCCTTTTAACTCTGAGGCAAAGAAAGGGAGAAGCAGCCTGTTCCTCTCTGCCTGTTAAGGACATGACCACGGCCTTGACGTAAAGCAGGAACAGTTCTGATTTGCAAAGTGCTGCTGGAAGCCATCGAGGCAGCAGATCTTCACAGCAACCCTCGATCTGTCCCAGTGAACACTGAGCTTACAATCTTATAAAGTAACTCAAGCTAAAGATTTACTGAAAGTGACATCTAAGCCAAATGAAATCACTTATAAAAGACTGCTCAATATTCTCAACCAAGTCTCTTCAGGTAACTGAAACCCAGGTGGTGCAAGGAAAATCTTGAGCTGTAATCACTTATATCAGGGGCCCCCAACTTCTGGACTCTGAAGCCTGACGATCTGAGGTGGAGCCGATGTAATAATAAAAATACAATGTTCTATAAATATAATGTGCTTGAATCATCCCCAAACCACCCCTTACCTCCTGCCATAGTCCGTGGAAAAATTGTCTTCCATGGAAACTGGTCCCTGGTGCAAAAGGCTTAGGGACCGCTGCCCCAGATCCTTGTCGCTCAGAGACCAGGAGCACCAGGAAATAGGTTAGAAAGGCAAGGCTGCAGATGCCCCCAGAACCACTGTATCCAAGCCTGCATTCTAAGCACGATCCTGTGCTCTGCACAGACACAAAAGCTTGAGACGCACTGGTCTGGATCCTCTCTCGCTGGTTACACCAAGACAAGGAACACAGTGAGGCAATTAAATGTTTTGCCTTTCAACAAGTACAGGCTTTGCAAGGGCAGTCAGGTACCCCTGTGGTACGTGGGGGCCACACACAACCCTTAGCTATCAAGACATTCTCAGAAAGGCTCAGAAACAACCCAAAATGGGACATGTGAAATGCTTCCCAGACTCACGACAGGGAGTGAACAAGGACAGGCTGGTACCTGCAAAGCGCAGAGGAGCGTCTTTGTCCAGGGCGATGAGAGGGGGGTCGAGGAGCACAGTGCTGTCGCTCTCCGTAACTAAGCCATGATACGTGGGCTCCAGCCACGGCTTGTGCTTGTTGACTGTGTTTAAAAACAGGAGGAGGAGAAAGGACATAGGCCAGGTTAGAATCATTATTTTCAACACCACCACTTTTGAAAATGTACATCCGTTATCATTAACAAAAAAACCCTCATGAGTCTGAAAGGCCAGCTGCTATTTTTTGTGGCCCAGTCTGGTAACAAGACCCAAGTGGGATGAACTCCTAAAGAAATGCAGACATTATCTGAGGCCAACCCCCGAAGCAACCAAAAATAAGAAATGAACTGCTCTAGAAACTGAAAGAAAAAAGACTGATGGTTATATGGACAGTGTGACAGACCAACTCATACCACCTCCGTTTTCAGCCGATCCTAGAAGAGTTACAAATAGAAGTATGTCATTTCTTGGATTAAAAGATATGAACTAAACAACATGGCCCTACTGTATAGCACAGGGAACTGTACTCAAAATCTTGTAATAAACCATGGGTTTGTTGATCAGTTGCTAAGTCATGCAACCCCATGAACTATATTAGCCCACCAAGCTTTCCTGTCCTTCACTATCTCCTGAAATTTGCTCAAATTCCTGTCTACTGAGTCAGTGATGGAAAAGAATATGAAAAAGAATATACAGATATGATAAAGATTTAAAGAATAAAGATTATGTGTGTATGAGAGAGAGAGAATGTATATATAAGACCCCAAAGACAGCAATCCACCAGGCTCCTCTGTCCATGGAATTCTTCAGATAAGAATACTGGGATGGGTAGCCATTCCCTTCTCCAGGGGATCTTCCCGACCTAGGGATTAAACTCGGGTCTCCCAAATTGCATGCGTGCTAAGTCAGGCAGATTCTTTACCATCTGAGCCACCAGGGAAGCCCACATTTAAGGTATATTCTTAAATATATACATATATTTTTAAAGACAGAATCACTGCTGTATACCAGAAACACATTATAAATCAACTATAACTCCAAAAAAACAACTTTTTTTAAAGAGATACAAACCACTACATATAAAATACATAAGCAACAAGGGTAGACTGTACAGCACAGAAAAATATAGCCCTTATTTTAAAATAACTTTAAACGGAATATAATCTATAAATATACTGAATCACTCTATCTTACATCTGAAACTAACATAATACTGTAAATCAACTATACTTCAATTTTTTAAATGTTATTTCTTTATGATAATAACGGTATTATTTATTTAAAATTAGCATTACAAAAAGAAATGTAAAACAAATGGGTGAAACAAGATTTACGAATATAAAATTACAAATATAATTAAAAGAAAATGATATGCAAAATTCCTGAAAAATCTGACTGAAAACAGTGATCAAGAAAAACCTGCTTTAAAAAATACTAATAATAATCTGCTCTGGGATCAGGATGGCCTGGACCCAGAGTTCAGCACCCCTCTATAATGTGCTGTGTGACCTGGAACACGTAACTGATTTCCTGATCTCAATCTCCTTTGTAAAATATTTTCTTTCGGTAGCCCTGGGTCTTCATTGCTCCGCGTGGACTTTCTCAGTTGTGGCACTTGAACTTACTGCCATGGCTTCTCCCGTGGCAGAGCAGGGGCTCTCGGCACAGGAGCTTCAGTACGTGCAGCACAACGGCTCAGCAGCTGTGGCCCACGGGCTGAGCTGCTCCGAAGCACGTGGAATCCTCCTAGACCAAGGGTCAAACCCATGTCCCCTGTATTGGTAGGTGGCTTCTCATCCACTGTACCACCAGGGAAGTCCTCGATTTCCTCTTCAGTGAAGCCGGGACCCCCATCCCCAACAACTCACAGGACTGGGGTGGACAACTGGAGAAGTGACGTTTTTCCTTCTCAGTTGGCACTAGCACTGCTCCTTTCGTGTTTAGGGTAAGAACATCTGCTCTGACAGCCTGCTGACCTGAGAAGATGAATTTGTGGTTTCTGTCCATTTCGTTTTTCCCCAGCTGTGGCCCCCAGAGGGTCTGTGCTGAGACTTTCCTGTGGTTGAGGAAAGCCCCTCCCTGGGTTCCTCTCTCCACCAGCCTATTTTGAGCTCCTCTCACAGTTGGAACCTTTCCATTTTCCTCTTATTTTCACCTTCTGAGTATTCACATTATAACCTCAGGATATAGATTAACCATGGAATGACTCATGAAGCTGATCTGATTAAAAGGAATGTGTTGTTCAGTCACTAAGTCACGTCTGACTCTTTGCCACCCCGTGGACTGCAGCCTGCCAGGCTTCCCTGTTCTTCACTATCTCAAATTCATGTCCATTGAGTCAGTGATGGGGGAACAATGGAAACAGTGAGAGACTTTATTTTCTGGGGGGCTCTAAAATCACTGCAGATGGTGACTGCAGCCACGAAATTAAAAGACACTTGCTCCTCGGAAGAAAAGTTATGACCAACCTAGACAGCATATTAAAAAGCAAAGACATTAATTACTTTGCCAACAAAGGTCCATCTAGTCAAAGCTACAGTTTTTCCAGAAGTCATGTGTGGATGTGAGAGTTGGGACTACAAAGAAAGCTGAGCGTTGAAGAATTTATGCTTTTGAACCATAGTATTGGAGAAGACTCAAGAGTCCCTTGGACTGCAAGAATATCAAACCAGTCAATCCAAAAAGAAATTAGTTCTGAATATTCATTGGAAGGACTGACTGATGCTGAAGCTGAAACTCCAATACTTTGGCCACCTGATGCAAAGAACTGACTCACTGGAAAAGGCCCTGATGCTGGGAAAGATTGAAGGCGGGAAGAGAAGGGGACGACAGAGAATGAGATGGTTGGATAGCATCACTGACTCAATGGACATGAGTTTGAACAATCTTTGGGAGGTGGTGATGGATAGGGAAGTCTGGCATGCTGCAGTCCATGGGGGTGCAAAGAGTCGGACACGACTGAGCAACTGAATTGAACTGAGTCAGTGGTGCCATCCAACCATCTCATCCTCTGTCATCCCCTTCTCCTCCTGCTTTCAATCTTTCCCAGCATTAGGGTCTTTTCTAGTGAGTCAGCTCTTCACATCAGGTGGCCAAAGTACTGGAGTGTCAGCTTCAGCATCGGTCCTTCCAATGAATATTCAGGTTTGATTTCCTTTAGGATTCACTGGTTATGAAACTTTATTTCCACATAGTTGGGGCCTATTTCTTGAATGAACTACCCAGATTCTCTTCGGGCAGTCAACCAGAAGTGACTGAAACTAAATTTAAATGTTTAACTGTCTTTTGTGCCGTGTGACCGTGATGTAGTCCTACTTTTCTTTGCTTTAATGATGATGGGACAAGCGGAGACAGTGATGATCAGAAGCACCTGAGCCCCACCTGCACTAACTCCCACGCGACCTACTGAAGAAGCAGAGTGCTCACATGTGAAATTCCAAAGGAGCAGGCCTGTGTCTGTGAGGGGGAAGATGAGCGACCCAATCTCTTCTTAATGACGCCTCCACCCGACATTTTATACAGGCTGCACCCAAACCAACAGCAAGTTCCCTGCCTTCACTTTCAAAGCAAACACAGACCAACAGGGAGCTGGCTAAATGGTATAGAGGGTTTCGGTTTTGCAAGACGGAAAGAGTTCCAGCGGTTGATTGCACAACAGTATGAATGAATGAACCCAATACCACTGACTCCAACACTTAAAAATGGTGAAGACGGAAAATTTTATGTTATGGGTATTTTACCACATTAAAAAAAAACATTCCACACCCACAAAATAAACTCAGATGGAGCCATTTCTTATCCCCTCTGCTGTCCACTGAGAGCTATTACAAAAGCCAAGTAATGGCCTCCTCCCTATCTCTTGCACTGACTCGTCCCACAGTGGCTGGGGTACCGCTGTGAACATGGGGGTGGCTCAGAGCCTGAGCTCTCAGAACCCATCTACACCAAAGGTCCTGAGGACCCCGAACAACTCTGCCTTAGGAGGGCCCATCTATCTATCGGTAATAATAATCAGTGCTGAAAGTTAAAACCAAAGAAAAGCGTTATACTGATATTTATTATTAATTCATTGCCAAAAACAAACCCATTGTGAATTAACATAATATGTTAATGAAAATAAATATGTATTTTAAAATAGAGTTTACTAGGAAGACTGGCAATGCTTTACATTCTGCAAATCCTTTCACGGCCCAGCGTGGCAGAAGCAAGCTGGGTTCTCACTGCCACTCCTGCAGCCAATAGGCTGCATTACGATGCCTCATGCAGCCTCTAGGAAACTCCAATGTGCATTCATGAAAAAATGAGGAAAAAGCAAGTGATGTCTTAATATAATTAAAACAGCTTTGACCTCTCGGATGCCCTGACAAGGTCTCTCGCCTCAGGCCTCTGTTGAAGCGTTCCCTCCTTCAGCGTCAAAGAGACTGCGTGCTGGAACTAAAGAATCCCCATAACAAAGACTGAAGACAGGGAATGCCAAAACTAAGACTGGGGGCAGCCAAATTAAAAAAAAAACAAAAAACAATAAAAGAGATTCCCCCCTCCAATTAAGACAGAACCCGCTGCTCTGCCCCGCAGTCCCACTTCCTCTTTCTTTCCTCTGCTACTCCTCCTAACCACGAGCAGTCAGCCTGGGACCTGGGGTAGGCTACCTGGCTTCCCTGGGCCTCAGTTTCCTCATCTGTAAAATGGGGACAGCAACAGCACCCACCTCTGAGGTTCCCATGTGATCTAACCCATCCCATGTAAAATGCTCAGGACGGGGTCAGGCACTCGGGAGATGCCATAAGGGGCTGAGTTGTTACTTCTCCTGCAAACATACACACACAAAACCAGGGTTTCCGGGAGGGCATGACCCTTTTTCTCTACTTATTCCCAGGACTTAGGATCTCATTCCTCAGGAACTATCTAGTAAGTGAGTAAGAACATACCCATGGACAGTACAAACAGAGTCAGTGCCCTGGTTTACAAATTCTCTCATAGAGAAGAAAGTTTTCATGCAGAGAACTGGGAGAAAAAAAAATGTACTGGTGTTTTAGATACTGGGAAGATGTTTATTTTTTGTTTCTGGCAGTTGGATGTTCCAGGAAAAGGAGACAAGAATTTT